CTAGAACTTAGAAATAATCTCTGCTTTATAAATGCTACTGGAAATAACATAAAATTTAAATGCGTACCTGAGAAAGCATTTAGCTATCTCCAAGACCCTCTAGGCCATATATTTTCTTCCTTAACACTTCCAAAAATACCAGAAAGTCAACGAATTTTCTGATTACAAATTAAATTTTAATGCATAACTTTTGGCAAAGAAAGTCTTATTTCAGCTAAGTCTTAATGAGTTGTAAGCCTTTCAAGCAAATCATGGTGGCAGTGAGGTTGAAGGTGGGCACCTCCCTCAGGGGCTCTGTGATTCTAATGAGCTGGTGAATCACCTGAGTCCTTGTTGAAATGCACACTCCAGGGACCAGTGTTCTGGGGCAGGCAGTTAAGTGGCCACTTTCAATGCCAAAATCCCACGTTAGAGTACCTGTTCCAGGCCTGGCTGCTCCACTTCCAATCCAGCTCCTGGCTAACACTCCTGGGAAAGCAGCTAAAGATGGCCTAAGTACTTGGGACCCTGGATGGACCTACCTGGATGGAATACATGGCTCCTGGTTTCTGCCTGGACCAGCCCTGGCTGTGGCCACCATTTAGAGAATGAACCAGTGGATGGAAGATCTCTCTCTATATATATATTCTCTGCCCCATATCTCCTCTTCCCTCCCTACCTCTCTGTGTAATTCTGCCTTTCATGCAAATAAATAAATCTTTTTAAAAAATTATTTTATCATCATTCTCTTCTGTGTTGTTTTCTCTCTTTCTTTCTTTTTTTTTTTTTTTTTTCTACATTGCTTCATTACCTCTCCATCCTTAGAATTGAGACAGATATGTACAGGTCATAAAACCCATGTTGAGTGTTGATAGTTTTCATCTGACAAGATTTAATGGTAATGAAAAATTTATTATAGAAGTTTCGTTGAAAGGTCATTTATGTTCCATTGTTTTTATATATGAATGACCCTGGTTTTCCTATTTTACAAATTTTCCATACATTCTTATGTGCTCATTCATTTTGAATCTACTTTTATTCCTACCCACCACTCATCAACTAGAATTAAAGTTTAGTGCTGCTTTGAGTCACTTAAAGCTAAACATCAGTTTAGTGATTGGCAAGAATCTATGGAAACACACCTACTGTTTCCTTCTACTTTCAAGTTTCATGAACCAATAGTCTCTCTACTGAAAAAGACTACCCAATCTTTAATAAAATGTTCAAATGAATCAACTGGTTATTATCCATATTAAATATTTTCAATTCAAAATTGAAAATTCACAGCTACTAATAATTACAGGTAAAAGGATATTTTTAAATACTAGGTTTTATTTTTATATTGTCAAGGAATTGACATTAAATTTAGAAATCTAACTTTATAATTCCAAAAAATGCAGATAGATAATTTTAAGTCATTCTGTAATCAGATTGCCTTCAAACATTTCATATGGTATATTATTTTATAACATAATCGCCCCCCAAATTTCTTTTATATAACTTTTCATATAAGATTATGAGCAATAAACCTGTTCCAAAGCATGCTTTTGTATTATAAAATAAAATGAGAGCTGAATTACACATAAGAAATATATATGTATATTTTAAATAGATGTAAATTTTATCATCCCATGTACAAAAGTGGAATTCTGACATATGCAAATGACAAAGTTTGGGACATATTATTTTCTGTTTTTTTTCTTTGAGCCTACATTTTTACCAGTGGTGAAATAACTGAATCTTAACTATTTTAATGCATATTCCACCCAATCCAAGGATATCTTGAAAATTCAAGGTTCATTTCATAGTCTAATTCACAAATAGCATCTGCTTTTTTTCTAATTCCTTAACCTTTCCTGAGACTGAAATGCTAAAGGCAGTGTGAAGAACGAGAGGACCCAACCTACATGATGGTTGTGGGTTGGTAATGACAAGTAAGCCTCCGTCTGACTCTCCAGGTGATCTCTCTTGTTGGCATAGTAATTGAGTCCTTGCTCCCTACAGATGGGCCACAACATAATATTGATCTTAGGATGACATATTTGTTAAAAATGATACTTCTTTCTGATGATTTCTTGCCACCTGGTAAAACGTCTCTACATCTAGACTGGGAAATATCTCTCTTCTAAAGCCAGCTGCTCTTCTCCTTTGCTTACCTACTGAGTCTTCCACTTGGACACTTGGGAAACTTAATGGTTCCCCTTCATGGATCCTCAATTGGATATTGAGAGCTCCTAAAAGCAGGAGATTGCTAGAAGTAATAAAAGAAACCTGACATGGCTTTTGCTTTTTCCTCATCTTTAAAATGTGATTAATATTAGTTGCTTCATGGTATTGCTTTCAACTGATAAATGAAATAATCAGCACTTGGGTAGAGGATTCATAAATGTTGTATCTGAGCAAAGACATAATGAAAGAAGAATGGGTATGCATATGCAGAAAAGTACATCTTCTCAGTTGATTTTAACAGATGTGACGTGGGGACCTGAGTCCTGTAACAGGTCCCTAGCAATCTCATGGTTGACAGTCTTGACAACACGTAGTAAAATCCCCTACACAACTTACACAATTCAAATGTTGATTAATTGTTCTGTCATTTATGCAGTTAAGATTTATTAAGCTCTCCCACGATGCTTCTTGCAGAAGGGAATATAAAATATAGTGTCTACCGTGGAATGGACATTGGCAAGTTCCTCATGAGTTTTAATGAAGCAAAGATAGAAATGAACAAACATTCTGTGGGTGAACCTGACATACTCTTCTCTTTCATATGCTGCCATAAATACCTGCTGATTAGTAGTCAATAAAGGCTATTTAATATTAGAAGCAAAGCCCAAGAGTGAAAATTAATTTTTATAGTTATATGACATGTATAATAAATCCTACTGAGGATTTTTTTTTCATTTTCATTAGAAGATCATCAATTCTACAAGTTTCAGAAACTAAGTTTTCTAAACTAGATACTTCCTTTGGGAATTAAAGCACTAAAGTATATGAAGACTTTAAGAAATTAATAACCATTTTTGGTGGAAAAAAATCTTAAAATCGAATTGAGTATTTTAAAGGCATTTCATCTAGTGGAGCCCTCATTTCTTGTTTGATCCTTATCTACCTCATAAATTGAATCATCATAAAGATGAATATTAATGGTAGCTATACTTGTCATGTTAGACATCAATTGGTTGATCTTGCTTCAAAGTAAGTTACTTCTTTGTAGTATTAAGTTACTCTAATTTCCTACCTCCATGCCTTTTATTTTCCTCTGGAGAAAACCCTTCCAGGGCATGACCTAATGAATTCTGGTTCAGATTTCCAAATGAATCTGAACCAAAGTGATTCTGTAATTTAGTGGAGGGAACCTTCATTAAACACTCCAGTGAGGGGATTTTTTTTACTGTTTCATACCAGGATAAAGTACTTTTCTTGACATATTAAAATTGAACTTTAACATTTATGAGAATATAAATTGCAACAGCACATTGTAACATGTCATAGGTCCAGCAGAGCCTGAGGTCAAGGGTTTTTACTTTCTTTATAACCTCCATTAAAAATAGCTATGTTTCTGATTATTTCTCCTTTAAAAATTAGAAAAATATGGCCTGCTCTCTAGGGCGATGTTATCTTCAGTTATTCCCATAATTTATATGGTGGTGTGGGGAATGTCTTCATGGTTTTTATTTCACTTAACCAAAGTACAAATGCAATTTAATAAGTAACGTTCTCTATTAAAACCTGAAAGTGATTTTTCTAATTGAGAAAATTGATTATTGTGTTCTCCTCTACATTGCTGACCTCTCTGTCATCTTCTTGTCTCAAAATCCTCTTGGCCTCCCAGCTTCAAGAAAACACTTCTCAATTGTAAGTGCAGGACCCATGGCCACTTAATGCTATTCACATTGTAGTAAGACTGAATATATCATTTGAAATTGAACTTGACATTTTTCTACAGCTCTTCCTCTCTGCTGTACACATGATCACAGCTGAACCTGCAACAGCTGCTTATATCCTATTATCGTCCATCTTTGAAGGTCTTAAGCAGCATGGTATGATCAGAAAACATGGTGTTTCAAAGGCTGACTGACTGGATTTCCTCAGCACCTTGACATTTGATTTCTTCTGCTAGCAAGTTGGCTCAACCGAGGTCTTTCTCACTGTGAACTGCAAAAAATAGGCCATGAACAAACTGATGTATATGGTTCAGGGTGGATCTTATTTGTATAAATCAATTGTGCCACTCATGGTGTTTTCAGCAAGAAAACTGACTCTGCTGTGGGAATTACAGAATTCATTCTGCGCTAGAAAGCCTGAATTGGTAGGAAAATAGGTAGCTCTAGTGGTCAAGAAGTGAGATACACAATAGCAAGTCTTTAGAGGTAGCATATGGCCAGGTCACAGCCCCGTTGCTTCTGCCACTGTGAGTGAATCCTGGCCATCCTGTCACCTTTCTGCCACTCTGCCAGGATTGAACATCTGTTTATCTGAGGTCAGGTCGTGTACCCCACCTGTGAGCCAAAGAACAGAAGGGAGATTATCTATTTTTTTGTTTTGCTTTGTTTTTTATTGACTATACACAATGGAAAATTCTTTCCAAATCACGAAAGGGAGGCTTTCTAGACAAATACATAATTTTTGAGATCTTGAAAATATTCATGCTATCGTAAGACAAAAGCAACGAATCGGTTTGCACAAATTGTAAAAAGAAACTAAGATTTTTTTGAAGCATCATGTTCAGTCTCAGAATCCCGACCCCATTGCATGATACCTGGCTTAGCTTGGGAGAAAAGAATAACATCTCTAATTCATAATATATAAATGAAAAATGACAGCTCCTGAATAGTAATACATTGAGATGCTATTTATAATTTAAACTCAGTAACAGATACATTGCAAGCACTCAGTCTTCTGCTTGAAGTACCTTTGATTGGTGCATCCAAAAGTGTATTTAATATTACCTTGCTGAGAAACAATTGTTAATCTACAGTTTTTAAATAGATGATATAGTTTTTCTTTTTCTTCAACAGACAGGCTAGCCTCAATGAAGCGGCTGAAAAGTATTATGATCTGGCAGCCAGACTGCGGCCTAACGTAAGTACTTTCCTGATGAGAAGCGTTACTCAGAAGAATGAACTTGAAGCATGTGATAGTTTTAGGATCTATCAGCCCCACGACACTAGGTTATTTTCTCTCTCATTCCTTACTTTGAATACCTACTAGCTGGCTAATTCAATGATGAAATCCAACAGTCTCAAGCTTCTATTTTCCAGAGGTAAAAATTGTTGCTTTTAGCCTATGTAAAGCACCATTACATTTTTATCATTTCAATGTAGATTTTAGCATTGCTAAATATTTTGTGTTTGGATGACTTTTATAAATCAATTCCTTGAACGTTTTTTGACTATGATATTAAATACCTATTACTTTTTGATTATCACAAACCTCAAGCTGAGTGCCTCTGTTCTACAATCCCTCTAATAACTGTGCTTTTCAAGTTTATCGAGAATGTTTTCATTACAATTTTTCCCTTGGTAGTCACACTTCCATAAAGTAAGATGGATATAAATTAGGTAATTTCTATGGAAATAGGATAACCATGTTTGAGAAAATAAGAACTAGTTTTGTATTGATCTTGTAAGCACATTTTATTTGCAGTACATTCTAAATTCCAGCACATTGCTTTTATTTCCTTATACATTCTGCGTTCTAACACTAAAGCCTATCATGCTGTCCGGATCTGGACTGTTCTAGATTGAGAAATGTCATTCTGAAACAATAGTAAAATAATGGACACATCTGATTTGAGTACCAATGATAGGGTCAGTCTCTTTTCTTCATAGTGACTCACCCATTGGGAAGCTTTGGAGTACCTGGTTTGTGAAAGGATACTGACATTTTGTGCCATCAATGATAAGACCTTGTAACTGAGTAGACTGAACATGATCAGCTAATGGAAATATGGGTGGCAGCTCCTATGCAAAGTTCTATACAGCCCCGTGGGAGAACAAAAGAGAATTAATGCTCCCAGAAAGAAACCTACTTGGGAAAGATCCTTGTTTTTTTCCCAGGAGATTGAGCCATGTGTAACCTCAGCCCTGAATCTAAAATTCCCCCAGGTGGTTTTGTAGGCGAAAAAAAGCATTTTCCTCACCCATCATGGAAGTCATGGTTGAGAGCTCGCTCTGTAAGTTGTACATGACATAAGATCCCTTAGAAATGAACACACGTTTTGTGGTCAGTTGGGCAGAAAGGTTATGATAATAGTAATCGAGGGCAACAGCAAGGCCTGTGTGGTGAGATTCTTCTCTGTGTCCATGTGTCTTCAGAGAAAGGGATGTTAATGACAGTGTTGCAACCTACTTCAAGGGAGAAGGGAGGGAAAAGGGCAAAAAGTAAACCTTCCTGTTCCTGCAGTTTGCTCAGTTTTCTTTAGCTTAAAATGCTCGGGATGCCGGGGAGCCATGTTTTGAATTGGCTGTTCTGAAGCCCATCACATTAATTACAAGATATTTCAGGAATTGATGAGCTGTCTGCAACAGAAGAAAATAATAACCCGGATGGAAGCACTATTAACTGTTAAGATTCATTGAGCCTTTGTAACGTGCCAAGCACTGTGCTGGGTGTGCTGTGGGACTTCCCTCATTCATTTCTCACAACAGCCCACCACACTTTGTGATCCTCATTCTGCTGATGGTCAGAGAAGTTACAACTCCCCCAGCATGACGGCTAAGCGGGATACCTTGTAATCCAGGCCACTGTGTGCATAAGCGAAAGCTAGATGAGAAAAGACTGTCATTTGACAGAAAAGAGGTTGGAGACTGAACAATAACCATCCTCCTGGTTACTTATTCCACAAATAGTTACTGAGAACCAGACCTGATTTTAGGCACTGGGTGTGTTACTAGAGACGGCTGCCCAAAGGTTCTTGTCAATTCGCAGAGTGGTGGTAAGTGAGGCAGCAAAGTGTAATGAGGAGAATACATGTGACAGACCAGGCAGGCATCTCAGGGAAGAACTGAGTGCCCACTCTCCTTTAGGCTGTAACAAAGAGCAAGAGGGCCTCTCACTAAAGACTGAGGGCTAGGGCCAGTGCCAGCATTTCATATGGGCAGCGATTCGTGTCCCGGCTGCTCCTCTTCTGATCCAGCTCTCTGCTTATGGCTTGGGAAAGCAGTGGAAGATGGCCCAAGTGCTAGGGCCACTGCACCTGTATGGAAAACCTAGAAGAAGCTCCTAGCTTCTGGTTTCCGATTGGCCTGGCTCCAGCCATTGCAATCATTTGGAGGATGAACAAGAAGATGGAAGACTTTCTCTCTCTCTCTCTCTCTCTGCCTCTCTCTAACTCTATCTCTGTCTCTATCTCAATGTCTGTCTCAGTCTCTATCTCTCTCTGCTTCTGTAGCTCTGCCTCTCAAATAAATAAGTCTTTAAAAACAAAGAGGACTGAGAGCCAAGTATGTATTCTGTATTTTATGGATATGAGTAGGCCATGCTCCTCCCCATTTCTCCTCCTATCCTGGGAAATTCCTGTGCGGAGGGCTTTCTGAGTGTGGATTTCCTGCAAGTGCTCCCAGGACCTTATCAGCACAGTGTATGGGGGCCGATAGCGCCCTTGGAGAAGGGTTGGGGAGATTCCCCTACACTGCCCCCAGAGAGAGGGCTGGAACCCACCTACCCAGGTGGCTCAGCACAAAACAGTGCTTTAGACATGTAGTTGCATCTACTGTTTTCTTCATTCTGCCACACAAAAATTACCATTTAATTTAAAAAATTCCCATTTCTTCAGCCCCTTTCATGCACATAGGCTAATGTCTACCTAGCTACCTTGACACATGTACACAGCAGTGAACAAAATGGACAAGAGCTCCTGCTGAGAGGAGTTACAACCTAGACTGGGGAGAAGGAGCTTAAGCAAATAAAGTTTTAGTTGGTCAGTGGTAAGTTCTTTAGAAAACATGGGGCAAGCAAGGAGGCCAGGAGGCACCTGGCAGCGTGTGGGAGGCGTAGCTTTATTACAAATGCCTACATTGGGGACCTCAGAGCAAAATTTCTAAGAAAACTGTGGAATATGAAGACTCAAACTTATTATAATAGTGTTGAAGGCGAGGAACAGGGATTTTTTGTTTCCCCTTCTCTTTTTGTTGCTTTATATTGTTTAACGTAATGATCTAATTGTGTATAATAGCTGTCAGTTTCCACCTGTATTCATTGAGTGGCAGTCACTTGAATGTCAGTTCTCTTTTTCTTTTTCTAAGATTTATATATTTATTTGAAAGTCAGAGTTACAGAGAGAGAGAGGGAGAGAGACAGAATTTTCCATCCACTGGTTCACTCCCCAAATGGCTACAGCAGCTGAAGCTGGGCCAATCTGAAGCCAGGAGCCAGGAGATTCTTCCAGGTCTCCCAAATGGGTGCAGGGGCCCAAGTGGCCATCTTCCACTGCTTTCCCAGGCCATAGCAGAGAGCTGGATCTGAAAAGGAGCAGCTGGGGCTTGAACCTTCTTCATGGGATGTGACACTGCAGGGGTGGCTTTACCCACTACGCCACAACGCCAGCCCCATCGCTTCTCCTTTTCTAAATGAGCAAGATAAGGAAGGCATACATTTTAAAGATAAAATTTATTTATTCATTTATTTGACAGAATGACACACAAACATAGGAAGAGACATAGAGGGAGATCTGTCGGCTGATTCACTGCCCAAATGACCACACTGGCAGGGGCTGAGCCAGGCCAAAACCAAGAACTCCATCCTGGTCTCCCACTTAGGTGGCAGGGTCCCAAGCACTTGAGCCATCCACTGATGCTTTCCCAGGTGCATTAGCAGGGAGCTGGATCTGAAGTGGAGCAGTCAGGAATCATTCAACATGGAATGCCAGTGTTGCAGGCAGTGGCTGAACCCTCTATGCCTCATTGCAGGCCTTGTCACTTTTATTTATTTAAGTATTTGGTCAGGTAGTTTTCTTCAGTGCATTATAATGGAGTTGTGAGATGAGGGTTATCTGAGCTAAGCCAAAAGTGAAAAAGACACTCAGGCTCCACAAAATTTCAGCTTCATTTGAAAGATTATTTTAAATGACCAGCTAAGTAATAAAATCAATATTTAATCATTAACTCAAAGCCATTTCTTCATAAACATGTTGCAGACTGCTTTTGAAAATGCGTTTATTCAAGTGATACTTTCCTTATATAGTGACAATAAATTATAGGTTTGTATAGAATACAGAGTTCATATTTAGCTATGAGAAAATGTTGCACTTGATGGATCAACAGATATGATCATTTTCTAATATATTTTATGAATTCCAATTTGATTTTTTTGGTTCATAAATGTGGGTAAGTAAGGAGATTCAAGAGTGATAAAATATGAACTATGCTAATAGTTCTGAAGTGAAATATCCTATTTAGACAGATATCCTATGTAATGATTTTTTAGCAATTATGCATTTGATCTAAATTAAAGCATCCATATAACATTTATCTTGCTGCTTTTTCCTTTGTTGATAAAAACATTCTTTATGATTTCTGAGTTTGCTTGCTTGATTATTTATTTAAATTTGAGAGAGAACATAGAGACACAGACAGAAAAAGCTCGCATCCAGTGGTTTACTCCCCAGTGCCTGCCAGGGCCAAGGCTTGAAACAAAACAGAAGTAGGGAGCTTAAACTCAAGGCACTTGGAAATGGTACAGAAGTGTCTTAAGCACTAAGTCAAGTGCTTGCCCTTTTCTCTGCTTTTAGTTCAATAAGTTTGTTGTCTCCTTTTGTGAGAACACAGCAAACAGATCACAATTTTCACTTCCTGTTGAAATTGTGCCAGTGTCTTTTCTACAATTCTCATCTGCCAAGTAATCTGATTTTATGCTTTGTTTTTTAAAAGATTTATTCTTTTAATTTAAAGTCAGAGTTGCAAAGAAGGAGGGAAAGATTGAGAGAGGGAGAAAAAGAGAAAGGGAGTGAGAGAGAGAGAGAGAGAGATCCTCCTGGTTGTTTCATTCCCCACATGACCACAACAGCCAGGAAGACTGGACTAGGCTGGAGCTGAGAGCTGCGTCTGGGTCTCCCAAGTGAGTGCCAAGGGCCTGAGTACTCA